CTTTTCACAAAGTCGTTGACTGACTCTAACTTCCTTTGCTTTTCGGCAATGAGGGTGGCCATCGACACCTCCGTGTCATCATCGAAGAAGCAGGCCAGGAAGAGCCTTTCTGCATCGGCCCGTGACATGATAGATCCTGGTTCCAGCTTGCGGAACCACTCGAAGGCTACCCCTTTGAGGGTGCCGATGAACAATCGGGTGAGGATGACGTCGTTTCCCGTGAGGAACCAGGTCTGAGCCATAAAGTAGTAGATGTGCTGAGAGAGAGAGAGCCCTTGCCATCAAACTGTACCAAACTGATGGGTTTGAACTTTACCGGGTAGGGGACTGTGTCCCACTCAATAGGGCATGGTCTGACCAGCCCCAGCTTGTTCATGTTTTGCTAGAGTTTCAAGGCATTGAGTTGGCTTTGGAACTCGTCGAGCCTCTTATCTCGGGCAGTACCCCCAGTATACGACGTCCCTACCAACGACTTTGAAGAGTGATCCGAATGCGGATCAGTGTTATCTTCTAGTTTAGTCATCTGATTAGGAGTGGGTCCTCATTCCCTATCTCCTGCCAGCTTCCGTGGAGTGCGAGTAGCCTTTTTCTTCTTTTTCTTCTTGCTCAGAAGATGTTCCAACATATCCTTTATGGACTCGATGGTGGCTTGACGTTCTTCAAACTTTTTAGCAATTGTTTGATCTTCCGCGGTATCTGCCATGTGCACCATTGCCAGTCCATCTTGAATCGAGTGCGAGGTTTGGGATGTGGCTGCTGCTGAGCAAACTTCATCTTCGCCGCCAGAAGGAGACACTAAGAGTGTGTTGGCCTTCTTGTTTTGATGATGATTTAACAAACAATTTACATCTAATATTGTTTGTCTAGTGTTTGTATTTTGTTATTTATTATAGAAAAACAATATGTTGGAGGATGGATGAAATTGCACATTCACGATCATATCCAATGGAGGTTGGAGGAATTGTGGAGTGAAGCCTACGCAATTCAAAGTTAAAGATTCAAGTTCAAGCTTCATCCACAAGTGTACCAAGATAGAGCTTCGTTGAAGATCACAAGCTTGGGTATATTTAGTTTTAGGTTTTATATTATGTGTGTTAGTACTTTAAGCTCAATCATACACACACATACACGTTTTGGTTTTTCTATGTATATATATAGTCGTATATATACATACATGTTTTGGTTTCTAAGTATATATAAATATGAAATTACATCCTTCATATTTATTGTTTTAGTTTTTCAAGTTTAAAATGAAACAATTGAATATAATTGGAAAATACATTTTTGTTTCATGTTTATATGCTTATATATGATTTTATCAATATCAAGTTTATATTTAATGAAATCATATTTATTATTTTTGAAATGTTTGCAAAATATGCAATTTTGTGAAAATATTGTTTTCTTGATTTATGGACTTAGTAACAATCATACACATCTTTTATTAAGTCTATATAATCATTTTGTAATGTTTTAAAATATGGTTAAGCTAAAATGTCAAAACTGTAATGTTTTAAAATATGGTTAAGCTAAAATGTCAAAACTCATATGTTTACATTTTCATGTTTTGGACTATTTTGTAAAATGATGATATTTTTTATTTGGGAGGTCCTTTCTAAAAACCGGGACAACCTATCAACGCGGGATAAAAACCATCTCTAAACAAATCTTTAAATTCATCATCTTCTACTAATTTAAAATGAAGGTTTTTAAGAATGATAAACCTTATTACGCATTTTCTAGCTCGGGCAGCGTCATAATTCCAACTATCGAGACTACCAGAAGAGAAGGATTGAGAAATCATAGATTGTCGGATATCATCTTGAGGATTCTGGCCTTTGTTGTGTTTTTCTATATGGCGTTTGAGGTGGTTGGTGCCGCTCTTATGATGAGCTTGGAAAATCTGGCCGCACAACGCACATTTAGCCTTCTGGATGATGATCCTACCGTGTTCATCGGTGACGTCTATCTTCTCGAAAAAATTCCACACATCGGATCTCGGCCTTTTAGGAGCTCTTGGTGCAGATTCGTCACCACCAGATTCAGGATTAACACCGGTAGTAGGAGTAGTTGTTGTAGGAGGACTCATTTCTAGATTAGTAGGAGATAGATTTTGCTCTTCATATTCAGATCTAGCAGCCATTTGATGGAAGTATTAGAAAATATAAGAGATTATAAGAGAGTATAATATTGTATAAGAGAATATTAGAGAGAAGTAGAAGAGTTTTGGTGTGAGGAGAAGAAGTAAAAACCCTCCTCTATTTATAGAGCCAGCCCCCTAGGCAAATGACCAAAAAACCCTCATATTTTGACCGTTGTTGTGGGCAAAACGGTCAAAACCTCAAATTGGCCGTTATGACCGGGCCGGGTCGGGCTGCCCGGCCCGGCCAAAACAGCCCAACGGTTACCTTAGGTGACCGTTGGGATCGGGCAAGCTCGGCCGTTTACCACAAACGGTCACCTTCTGGTGACCGTTTCATCCGGGCCGGTCCCGGGCCCGGGCGGCCGCACTGTTCCGAGTCGTGTCCGGGTCCGGACCGGTTTCTGAAAAACCGACACGGGCTTAGCCCGGGCATCCGGGCAAAACTCAGGCTGGGCATCGGGTCGGGCTTGGGCCACGGGCTTTTTGGACAGCCCTAGGTATAAACTTTTCTCAAGATGGAAGATGTCAAAGCAAAGAAGAATACCAACACTATCGTATATAGCTAGTAAAGACTGGGAACAACACCAAATAAGAATCTACAGTGTGATTGGTCACCGTCTTGACCTACATCTCTGGACCAATCTAGTGAAATGATTCCATTAACCAAAAATGTATTACAACAAAGAGATCACTCCAAGTCTCATTCGCATTTGAAATATATCTAGCGATAAAACAAGATGCATTAAAGAGATGTAAATATATATCTTCTTACTGCCTCAACTTTCATCTGAAAGAGTAGTACATAGTTGGACGAGTGTTCTACATGTCCTCCTTTTCAATTATAATTGAAAGAGAAAAATTGTAATTTTACGATAATTCGTGTTTTCTCTTTCTTTTTTCTTTTTTGCTTCTAGAATATTCTATATCATTGAATGTCATAAGAAAATGGAGCCCACATAATTCAATGTTTTCTTCAAATTTTATGTTATTAAAAAGCAAAGTTCTATGCATATATTCACACCATAATTTATTTATATTGATGCATAAAGAAAATCAATGGAGAATTTTAGGTTCAAAGAGACATTGGTTGACTGCTGTTCTCTTTGCCTACCTTTTAAACGCACATGCTTTGTAAAAAGATGAAACTATCTTCATATATATGTTTATTTATTTATTAACGTAAAAATAAAATGTTTTTATAGCACATGCACTTGCACGTGTCAAAATTCTACTTTCATATGAAAAAATGTATAAGATTTGAACAACGCACATTTAGGGATGAATTCTTTTTTCCTTTTGTTTTCACCGTGTCTACTATCGTCTTCCTTTCAAAGCACAGCACAGTCAGTAATTCATTGGATAAGTGATTAAGATAGTTTCTAGAAAGTTTACTCTCTTCACTTAATACAAGGGAAAGGGTCAAAGTTTCTTGAAAGAAACAAGATGTTTGTATTTTATTCTATGCTCTTGTAAAGATGTTCGTAATATTCTTTGCTCTTGTCTTGTGTTTTGTTTCATTTTTGGGACAAACTCCCACGACATTGTGGAGGAATTAGCACTTTAGTAAAATTTGGGTACTTGATTTAAATAATGTAACATCAAGATAAAGCGTGTGTTCATTGACTTCCGAAATATTTAATATGCTAAAGTGCACAATTATATATAATACCGAAAAAAGGTATCTCTCTGCTTTTGATGTGGGAAATTTTGGAATAACAATGGAAGTAATTTGGCCAACAATCAAGTTTTCGGAGTTTATGCATT